GGAGGTCCAGTTGTGCTCTGATAAAAAAATGTGCACGACTTCATGGACCGAAACATTTTTCACTTTATCAAAAATTATTCTTTTTTCTTTTTCTGCTTTATGTATTCCTTTTTTCCAAAATTAGTTTTTTAAAAAAAAATATTGTTACCGTTCTATAAAGAAAAAAACTTGAGTTGCATTATGAGCGCTTGTCCTGAGCCCCACAGTGACTGTCTAGACAATTGTACTAAGCAGAAAAAAAGGCGTCAAGCAGTTTGCCGTTTGTTTTAGTAGGTTTTGAGGAGGAATAAGTGAAATTATTGCAAGTAATTTAATCGATTCAGCACGTGCGAAAGAAAAAGCGCCTTGCATCATCTTCATCGATGAGATTGATTCAGTGGGTTCGAAACGGGTCACCGATGCGATGCATCCTCATGCCAATCAGACAGTCAATCAGGTAGACGGAAATGAATTCTTTTTGTGCACTGCTTCAACAGATGTTCGTCTGTGTATTTACTTTTCTGGTGGTCGCTTCCCCGTCAGACTTGGTTAAGTAGTACTTCGTAGTATTAGGACATGCTTTGTTCATATTTAGACATGTTTAGACATTAGAACATGTATCTTCCTGTGGGTGGTAGCTCATGTGGTGTTCAAATGTGGGGAAAAGTACCAAAATAAGTCTCTTTTCACAGAAGGGAAAAATTTCGGTTCTTCATGAAATTTTTCTAGTGATAGGATATTAGAATTTCAAGAATACCAAAGTAACTCTTGCGGTGCGTGTGGGGATTGATTCTGCTGGAATGCGCAAGCGAAGAACTCAGCAGTGTTAGACGCTTAAATCCTGAGCTGCATACCTTTATTTGGTACTTTCTGCTTGCTAGATATGTGCGCATTGCCTCTTCGTAAGCTGCCCGAGTGGTCATTTATTTTTTTTTTTTTCTTGTACAGTTTTTACCAGATATTTTCCTCTACGAAGAATATTCGTAAAATTTCCTCTTTGAGTGTGCGATACACGCGTACCATATTCTATTGATATTTTTAAAATGATACAGAATTTTTATGCAGTGGCCAATTTGTACGAGCTTTTTTGAATCTCTGTGATGTGACGACCGAATAGCTTGGTTCATTTAGTAAAATTACTCCCATATCATTCTGGAAAAGAACGAATCCATTCCTGTTTAAGTGGTTAAATTTCCTATGTTTCCCTTTCCCGAAGATTATTAGGTAAATTAAGCTTCGTAAGGAAGAATTGCCGACCGTGCTCAGTAAAAAGTAGCCTACACAGCAGTCTAGGTTTCGAAGTAATAACAGTACAATGGAGTGGATCAAGTATTTCTTTGGGTAGTGGCTGTCTGAGCACGCAAGGCTGTGTAACAGCTCATGTGCTTTATAAATATTGAGTGTTTTGTGTTGAATTTACTACTGCAACCGAAAAATGATTATTCTAATCGAACATGTTTAATTTTTACGTTCAGTTACTTGCCGAAATGGATGGTTTCAATCCGAACGAAGGTGTGATCGTCATTGGAGCGACAAATCGAGTGAGTGATTTGGATCCAGCCCTGCTACGACCTGGACGTTTTGACGTACAAGTTCAAGTCTCATATCCGGATCTTGAAGGACGCAAGGAAATCGTACAGTAAAATTTTTCA